CATGAATAAAACAAACACTAAAATATAGTTTCTAGTTTATCCACAATATGTTAGTGCAAAAGGTTGTGCACGTTTATCTCAATAACAGCTTGTCTGTTATTGAGATAAACGTGCACAACCTTTTTTCATACAGTCAAAAAGTCTAACTATAATTCTTTTTAGTTTATGAAATCCCTATCAATTAATCTTTCATATATAGATAGTTATCAGTTGCACTATTAATATATTTAAAAATATTTTACACTGACCGATAATGTTATGTTGTATATCAATATCGACCTTACAACTGCAACGATCAAAGTTCACGAGCGTTTTAAATTTGAAAGATCGATTAATTTTGCCTATAGTTTAATAGTTGTTCACATTGACACAAACATTTTAAATAATAACAACGTAGAAAAAAACAAAACACATTTGAATACTATATAATTAATTACGTTAATATTGACTAAATCACCTACCACGGCTGCATATCATATCGTATTAATTATTAATATTATAAAATCGAAAACTGGACGACGCTGTTTATTTCTGAGTTAATGTCTATGTTAGTAGACGACTCGAAGCGACTAATTTTATCTCCTAATCGATATCTGAATACCTCCCGAAGGAGTTTTATTTAAAACACAACAATACCCCGTATGTTTTTATAATTAGCAATGACTAACTTATCATCACTTTCATCCCTTAAAACTAGAATATTATTTTGAAAGGAAACTTATGATATTTGCCTATTTTTAGAAAATATTTCTGTTAGATTTCAATAAATAACACAAGGCCGGGAGAAATGAGTAGATTAAATAAAAGATTGATGGATTGTGTGAAAGATTCTATAAATAGAAGAGGCAAAAATGCTGCGATAAACCTTCTTATAAAATACTACTACTTTTAACAGTATTTAAAATAGATGTAGGCTATATTTAATAAGTTGTTTATGGACCTAAATAATATATCTATACCTTTACGTGGGATATATTATATTTTTATTTATTTAATGAGGTCTCCGTATTCATGCCTGTCTGCCAGTTTCATATCTTCTATGCAAGTGACTACCAGCAAAGATTTTAATTTAAAAATAAAATACGTGCACTATAAATGTTATATATTTATGTAATATTTTAACCCCATAGTTTAATAAAAAGTATATCTAGTCAGCTTCTTCTTGCTGGACATTTTCAGACGGGCCTCCGATTGATAAACGAAGTTTTTAACAATTTTCGTCTAAAAGAGATTTAATTTATTTGACAGATTTACAATAATGTGTGAAGCTTTTGATAATTCCATTTATAATCTGAATTAAAAGTATAAAGGCAACTTATTCTGGAAAATAACAAATCCATACAAAATTATCTATTCAAACGCGACTTATAAATCGCATTACATAGTATTTCATAATAAAAGCCCAGGTTACTTATTACATAATACCTAACATATAGGTAAATAAGATTCTTTGAATCTTAAACGAAAGTCGCTATACTGTGTCGTGAGTGATTTGAGAAATTTATCTCAAATATAGAAATAGAAATATGCTTCATACAGCTCATGAAATACGCTTTATGATCGATGCAATGTCCACATTGTGTGTAAGTGCGTTCAGATCTCGTGACATCGTTGATTGCTCTTGATTGTCCCATTGTGATTGTCATTTTATAAATCTAATGAAGTAATCGGTCAAATCGTCGGCAATGCGACAACGATGTCGTGTTTTGAATAAATCGCTTATTTCTCGAAGTACCTACCGCATGCATAGTGCATACTAATTGACACCTATCTGTATGTTATACAGCTAATATTTGTTTCCCTACGGCATATTGGTACCTACTCTCAGTAAAGTTTTGTTAAATGCACATTTTTGCCTGGTTAATATAAATTTTATTTATCATTGTACTCGATGTTGCGAGTTTAGTTTCTTCTTTTATTCGTTACAATTTATTCTATCTTCGCTCAGCGTTTCGTTGTACTAACAACAATTTATAAATTATTTGTTTGCAATCCGATTACAATAAAACAGACCCAATAAATGTAAATGAATTTTACTGATAACGTATTTAATATATATTAATGAAAATATAATCCAAGTCGGATAATCCGTAACTGAGAATGGCTCGCGTGAATGCACAGACAGACATATAAAAATACTAACAATCACTATTTTGAATAGAATTACGTTGATAAAATCCAAAATAATAGTTTTTCTCATATATCTTCTACAGACAGCGATCAGTTACATTTTTATCGTATGTGATAATGTGGAAATTAAATAAATTGTTTTGTACATTATATTACATTTTATTTCAAGAATACAAATGTTTTAATTAACAAATACCGTAAAGGGAAAAAATAATTCACTAATAGAAAAATGGATTGTTGTTCCTTTCGAGATCTAATCCAAGAAAAGGGAGTTCTCAATTTGGCCGTTACAATTAATAGGGTTTAATTACGTGTTAATTCTATTCCTTGTTGTTTTTGTGATACCTATATGAACCTTATCTGTAAAAGTTACGAGATGGACTATTAGCTATTAGTTCATCAACTATCATATTATCCAATCTACTTAGCTACCTAGTGCAGACGAATCAGCTTAATATTCTGATACCTGCCTATTATTGTTTGCTTAAAGAATATTTTTACAGAAAGATACAGAATTAATATTTTCTTAAAAAAATTTTGTTTACATTAATAAAATCCAATATATGGATTTTAGTGAAGTATTTTGTTAACAGCTTAAATTTACATAAAACATTATACCTACTTAGCTAAAAAATATAATAAGTCATTGTCAACGGGTCATGGTTGACTATGACGTATTTTTTTAAACGTTACACGTGTATTTTCATAGTTTTTTTGGAACGATTTACAATTATGAAAAGCGGAAACGTTTTAGGGTTCATCATAATTATAATAGATTTTTTTTTCAGTCTCTCGCTGTATACAATATTATATTATATTAGGTTTGAGTTGATGTACCTCAATGACCTACAGTCCGACCTACCATATGAAAATACCGTATGGTAATATTACAAACATTACAACACCCTGTTCATTTTATTATTGGTTTTAAGAGTTAGTTAGTTAAGGGTAACTGATATATTTCTTGTTCTTTTTTTTACTGTAACATTGATCATATTCGTGTATTCTCTTAGATGACATCTTTCTGTGTCTTGTCTCAATTAATTTGGTTTAGTGGTGGAAAATTTAATGATTGTAATACATAAATTCTTAGAATTTTACGAGAGAAAACTCGAAAGGAAAAACTGTTTAATGAGTTCGTAATTGCTAATTCAACCTCTTACATCATTTATTAGAAAGAAGTTTATTTTTCCTCAATTATTCTAACTTCTATAGAAAGAAACTTAACTTCTAAAGATAAGTTTTATATTAGAACCTAAATTATGTGCAAACATAATTGTGAGTGCAAAGGTTTTGAATCGTGATTAATTACAATTTTTGTACATATATACGTAGCTGGCCCAATAAACTACAAGGTTTTCATTTAGAATATTACTAGATGAATGGAACGACTTAGGTACTTTTTATTTTGTAACAATTTTTATGCTAAGTAGGTTTATATATGTATCGTGAATGTTATTGGAGTGTTTCTACAAAACTAGTCTCATAAAAATGTCACGTAAATGCGTCCAATTTTTACGGGTTCCCTGAAACATAAATATAGTGTTGACATAGTCGACTCTGGCACAACAGGGCAATATTTTTATATTCTCGTCCTCCCTTTGGATATCCAAAGTAGAGTGATAGTAATAAAATGTTTAGTTTCAGTTAGATTGTGTGATGCACAGTAATAAAATATATTCTATTAATTTGTATATCTGCTGTGTCTGCATCTGGTTACGAGATTAAAGTAAACTACGTCATAATCGTCGTAATGTATATCTCTACTACTAAATAATTAAAACGTAATGTCTACCCTTATTTATTATTTACAACACAGTATTTCGTGTGAATGTTAAGGGAATATTTTCAGATATCAATAAAATACTGTACAGATAGATGGATACAGACAATAGCTTTTATTTGTATATTATTATTATATCTATCTATAATATACATTATTTAAGTACACTAATTGAAAAATCATATCTAAACTATATAATTTAGAAAAATAATAATAATATCTCAGGACAAATCACACAGCGCCATCTAGTCCCAAATTAAGCACAGCTCGTGTTATGGGTGCAAGACAACTAATATAAATACATACATACATACATACATACATTTTTTTGTAAATAAATACAAATTATACATAGAAGACACCCAGACCGATACAAACAATCATACTCGTGAATACAAATGATTGTACCGTGCGAGGAATCGACCCCGCGACCATCGGATAGTAAAGCGGTATGGTGGTATACCATACCGCTTTACTATCCGAGCCAAAGCTAAAGTAAAATATGTTTCTAGAAATTACATTTTTTTTAACATGACACGTAATCGCCTCTTTCCACCTAGGACTGTCAGGTTGTTTATCACATATTAAAAATAGGGAACTGAAGGCATTAGTTATGTTCAGATAATAGGTATATGAGGAAAAAAAAACTGTTGACCTCCTGACTTTGAACACATTCAGCACAATTTACGTCAACTAAAATGTTAGCATATATTTTACAACTAGCTCTCGCCTGCGGCCTTGTCCGAGTGGTATTTAAATAATATTAACTAAATACCACCTTAAAACATATTACCTTCATAATATTATATTCATTGTTTCTCAGTAAACATGTTAAATACAATTACTACACATATTTCAAAATAATATTTATTTATTATTTGCATATTCTATTGGCCTAAAAAATATCCCGTATTCTTAGCAGCTTATATTCTTCAGGTAGAATTCAAGCTATATTTATACTAAGTTTCATGAAAATTGGTTAATACTTACATTAGGGGGTCTAGAAATAACAAACATTTATAATTATTAATAGATTTATGGAACGTTACGTATGTTTATTATTATATATAAAAATATCTTAATTTCGGTTAGAGAAATACTTTAATTTTCTGTATTTTTATTTTAGGGATTTTAGTATTTATACCTCTAAGAATAATATTTCGATTTCTACAGATTAGTATAAGAACCATAAATACAGTCAATATGCATTACTGAAATATAGAATTTGCAACTTATTGATTGTGATAATATTCTTTGTTAAACATTGCATATATATATTACGGAATATTGATAGGCATCATGTAAATAATTATCTACCTCGAGGAGAAACACAAATCATTTAATTATTAATGTTATTACAGGGCATGACCAATAATGGAAAATACTGATAATAAACTCTACTCTAAAGAATGTGCACAAATCAGAATTGAGTGTTATACTTGTTAGAAACAGAGATAGTTCATAGAAGTTCCCTGTAAAATATTGGATTATCAAATTTATTTTTAGTATATAAATGGGTCAAAATGGTTCTTATACCGTATTGTAACAATGACTAAAATGTACCTAATAGTAAAGGACCGCACTTCACTTCTAAAATGCATGACTTTATATTGGAAAGGTTATCTGGTACCTACGCAGTTTAGTGTTTCTAGTTTCTGTTCCTATGTACTATGTATAATTTTCTCTCTCTAACTTGATATATGATCGTCATGAGCGAGGAGATAGGGGTAGCATATGACTTGGTGGTAAGCCTAGCCTCGTGTATGTTCGGTGGGTTTCGTTGAAAATCAACTTCTGTACGAACAGTGTACAGCAGCCGTCTGAATTGGACTGACTAGTCGCCCTGTCGCAACACACACTTTCCTTACGGCAGTTGCCGCCGGTACCTCGGTGCGGAGAGAAGTTATAAAGTGTATCCTCTCCATATCGCGCGACTCAGCCGCTTTTGTTGTAAACAAATCACAGTCAATTGAAAGAAACACGCATCTTGTTCAATGAAAATGCTGCTTATAAAGATCAAAAATAAATATGTTATTGACAATAAATCTATACGACCGGTTGCCGTGAATTATACATAGACTCCAAGGTGGATTCGAATGAACAATTCTGTATGGTGTACATTGAATTTTGGGGTTTAGTGAAAGGAACTTGTTATTATTAAAGTGTTCCAAGTGCTGGCTGTTACGAACTGTGCAGAGCTAATGTAGTAATTATTAGTATTGCAGCATAAGAAGTTACTGTACTGGAACTATGAGTGCACCTGAGCCTGTAGTTGAGGTTATTCTCAATGAACGCTGCTAGCAAAGTATCCAAGTCAAGGTGTTTTGCTACGTTGATTGTTCATGATCCCATTACTTTAAGCGAATAGGTAAGGCTAAGTTATTATTCTGTTTATGTATTCATAAATTATTCTACATAAATATAATCTAACTTTATTGCAATATATTTTTTTAGATGAAGTAGGTACCTATAGATACTTACATGCAAGATCATATTAAATCAAAACTTACCGTTTACAAATACCAGTGACCAGACGGGTTTGTAAACGGTAAGTTCAAAACTGCGTCATAACAGTTGAACCGTATGGTCCTATAGTTTATTAATATCGATGCATATCATATAATATTTAAGTATTGAATAAATACCTATATAGACGTCGGATAATATGTCGGTATACCAGATCCGGGATGGATGGAACAGTGGGATGGTTAATTATGAATCATATTCGTTTAAAGATCTGTTTTTTACAAGTAAAAACAATTTAAAAAGTATAATAAAAACACTATCAATTACGTAGCTATCTATGGCTCCAATGTAAAATAGCACGCTTCATGATAATTCAATCCATATTATCAGCTATAGCAAAGTAGGAGTACGAATTAATTAAAATAATATAATATAATTTTAAATACCTACCTATGTATCGTGTGTTGATATACAAAAAAGATACATACGTATTGTTTATTTATATGTAATTATAGATTTGTTATATTGTACTATATATCCTATTATGGTAACGGAAGACGTGCATTACTGACAACTGAATGGATAATTATTTTTATTAATTTTCTTATAAATTCTACTACTAAGACTATTAAGATAATTTATTACAATATTTTGTTCTATACCTGAGAAATCTGAAGACTAATAAACACTGACTGCAGCTTGCATTTTGAAGTCTAATCTTTAGACTGATGATTTTGCAGTAAGTCGTCGTACATACATTTATTATTGAACTACTTAAAAAAATTACCAATATTTGTAACTATAAAATAATTAGGGACAATCACGAAATACTTATTACTTCTGCGTATGGTTAATCTGTAATCTAGATTTCGTAATAGAATAAAAAAAAATACTGTTAATTAATATTAACCAGTAAGAGCTAAAAATATTGAGAAATTTAATCACAATTCTTGAGTGCAAAAAATGTATAAAGACATTGATCGAAAAACTTTCTTAATCATAGTTGACTTGTTTTCCACTTTTCGTATTGCGGCGTGGGATGGCAATACAATTTGAAGTACCTATGTACATAAATATACCAAGTTTCCTCGCTTAGGATTGGGACAGCTGTCGAGTTGCATTTTTCATCCTCATTTAAAATTTTATGTTAATATTTTATTTTCCTAACTTAAGTAGCGTTAAATGCTTCTAAATTACGAATGTCATCATTTCTACATAGGTCCTCATAGATATAATTTAATCTATTATTTTTAGGATAAGAAATGGAATAGTTATAATCTTTTGTACAATTAATATTTTAGAGTGTGAATATATATATGTTACTGGAATAGCAAAAAAGTTATGTTTAATTAACTATTACGAATTTTTTTTATTCGAAACTAAAGCCATTAGCGGATGATATTTAACCTTATAGTCGAAATTTAATCTCTACCAAGTACTCTCTAGTACATTACACTTAAATTATTTTAAATTAAGACTAAGAGGGCGGGTAGACAGATTTATCTTCTCGTAAAATTTGTTTACTTACAGACTTATTGTCGACTAAACATAAGTGGTGCCTCCACCATTTTCAGTCAATTATATGATCTGTAAAATAGTTGTTTTTGTAACTAATACAGATATATTAAAGGGGAGGATGACTGAAGAAAGATTGGTGTACTGTGTGAAAGATGATACGCATAAAAACCGTACTCTAGCAGATATGACGGGTGATAAGGAGCAATAGAAGATGTACAACCCAAATAATGGGATAAAGGCAAGACTTTGCGGATAAACTAACACTGAATTTGTGGTGAGTGCGTAATTTTATTTCTACCATCTAATTCAATATAATCAATAATTCAATATATAGATTATATATTGAATTAGACGGTAGGAATAAAATTATAATATAAAAATTTTTACGTTCATAAGCGGCTAAAGTGTCCTACATGATTAAATGATTTCTGAATTTGAATATTAAATAAGGTCCTAAATATTGTAATACCTACTGGAGATTACAATATTGTATTATGGAAAAATTTATAGTCATATTTAAAGTGTTATCGAAAGAAAATAGACTCAAAATTATACCTACCCATGGGTTGAGATAATGGTAATCCATGTTTATTACTATCACCGTAATCATACAGAGAATAAACATTTTTAATTTATTATTGTATTTATCTTTAAGTATGCACAATATGGGCCAATATTATTTTAGTATTGTTGCATTATTAAATATATATTAATAATAATATTAAGACAGTGCCATCCATCCGATATTATCCTACGGGAAAATAAATGATAGAACAGACTTACATAACTTAAGTAGGTATATTAAAATTAATAAAGATTATATAAACAAAACCAGACCCTGTGTTGGACCTATGAAGGTTTTTATATTTTGTGCTCCAACAATATAGGATAGATTTAATGTTGTGTTTCTGCCAGCTGTCTCTCTTTATTGTATCTAAATGCATATAAGATGAGATCAGATAAAAAATTTGATTAATGAGTGTAGAATGTTGTAAAAATTCAAACTAATTTCACTTATTTCCTGTCTCATCTTAAAACAGAAATTTATTAGAAGTAACTTTACCTTATTTTTATACGTCATTCTTTGATATGTCTATCTTGTTCCTAAAAATCAGAGTAAATTTTTAAGAAATTTCTTTTAAGAGTATAAACTTTTAAATCAGAGCAATAAGAGACTAATTTGCTACGTGAAGCAACTGTAGCTATGGGACTTTTTTGCAATCTCCACGACGCGACGTTCAAAAATATCAGAGATCGTTGAGCGTAAGAATCAACTTATTACGCTTCATTGGTACCGCAAGGCGGAACGTATATTTTATAACATGATGATTAAGTAGATATATTTTTAACGTCCCGCCAACGCAAATTCATGTTTGACATAAATTATTAGAGAGATTATTCTTTAATTCTCTAGGAAACATTTGACCTTCATGGCTTGCTTTCTATGCCAGGTGTTCCTTTTCTGCGCGCAAACAATGAGCAGGGAGGGAGATGTTTATTATGTCCTCTTACAAAGAATAAATATAATACTGAAATCCCTCCTATTGTTGCTGAAATGTTTAAAAATATGAATGAAGCCTAAGTAAATATGAGTATATTTTATTCATCGCAGTTTAAATCCGGTTATGGATATTTTTATACATTATTAATGAATAAAAAATAAGTTTTATTGTTTAAATGTGTTTCAAGAATTAACCAATGATAACCAAATTTTGATTTATCAAAATTTACCGTGTAAAAAACTGTTAATCAAAAAACTTTCTTATTAGTAATAATAGTATTAATTTATATTATCTGTGGTATTATTAATTTAAAACCGTATCATTGGCAAATAAAATCATAATTTGCCGCCAGTCAGAGGAATTTTCACATTTCAGTATCAAGAGTATAGAATATCTTAAAATTACACGGTAGTTATAACAAATGATTCCTTAGGAATAGAAGAAATATTAAATGGTATGATGAAAGGTAACCAAGAACATACCTATCTATTTTATCAGTTTGCTTGTGTGGTTTTGTAATGCTTAAGTAATATTTCTTATTTTTAACCTTAAATTATTGAAATAGCTAAATTCCATGTGTATATTTTATGTTATGTTATATTAAAATTCGTGTCATGCGTACACGCACACTACTCAGATCATTGTTACGTACATTATTTGAATATTAACATACAAAATAACGACGTGAGCATTAAAACTAGATACTTGAGTAGACTTTTAACATTCTGGTATCTAATGTGTATGTACCTGAATGGAATGAGGAATTACGTGCTCTATATATTAGTATTTTGAACACGTAGAGTAGAACAAACTTATTTGTAAAACTTACCTTATCTTCATGTTTTCGTAGCTACAATTAGTAGAAAAAATTATAGATTTATTGTAATTATTCTTTAAAATGAAGCTACTTAATATAATCGCGGAATTCGGAAATCAAATCTCCATAAAAGTAATTCCAATGTACAACGCGATAAGAGAATGAAAAATTAGGTTGATGAATTTAAAGATCTTATACTGATAAAACTCCGTACATAATAAATTCACCAAACCTACACAAATTTGGATTTGATTTACTGGGATTTATATAACCAACATTTTGCCAGAAACTGGTATTTTTTTAACTAGTTTTATAATATGTTTATCAGAGATGATAATTATGGGAAGCCGTCTTAACAATACAGAAATGGTTTGCATTTAATTATTTAATTACAATACTATACTATAATTATGAGCATGACAAAGAATTAACTGATATTACTGTAAAATACATTGTCTAGTTATTATGTAGTTAGCTTTACTATAAGATGTTAATAGGCGTATTAAATGGCCGATTGAGGATATGATATCGTTATAATTTTTATTGATTTGTTTCTAAGTAAGAACAATTCAATTGACTTGTATATATCTATATATATTTAGTTCTTGGTAGCTACCAAGAAATAAATATTTCTCTATAATATATAACCATTCAACCGTAATACAGTTTACAACAAATAAAGCTTGATTTGTTTGTAAACTGTATTACGGATGAATTGTGAGATATTATAGAGAAATTAGAGAAAAGATGTCACCTTATATCTCCTAAATGTTCACGTATGAGGCATTCGTGAACGACTCATGATGACTTGATGATATTTGTGGTGCTGTTTATGTCTACCTATATGGGCTACGTTTACCACTTATCATTAGATAGCAATAATAATAATTATCTTTATTTATCTCAAATAATAAAGAGTTATAATTTCTTGTTATAATAAAATTAAAAGGTATTATAATATAGGCTGTCGCCTTATTCAATTACATAAAATAAACAAAACTATAGTTACTTTTATCTTACGCTTATAATAGAAATATTACTATTAACGGATGGCAATGATTATTT